GAGGGCAACAACAGGAGGGCAACAACATGAGGGCAACAACAGGAGGGAAACAACAGAAGGGCAACAACAGGAGGAGGGCAACAACAGGAGGGCAACAACAGGAGGGAAACAACAGAAGGGCAACAACAGGAGGGCAACAGGAGGGCAACAACAGAGGGCAACAACAGGAGGGCAACAAACAGAGGGCAATAACAGGAGGGCAACAAACAGAGGGCAATAACAGGAGGGCAATAACAGGAGGGCAACAACAGGAGGACAATAACAGGAGGGCAACAACATGAGGGCAACAACAGGAGGACAACAACAGAGGGCAACAACATGAGGGCAACAACAGGAGGACAACAACAGAGGGCAACAACAGGAGGGCAACAACAGAGGGTAACAACAGAGTAGGGCAATCTCAAGGGGGCATTTGTTGCTGCGTGTTGTTGCCTCTACAGGGCAGATGAATCATGCACATGGTGGTTCTCCTGAGTTATTGTCAACAGCTGAGCTGGTCGCTGTGAATGTGCTGCCTGCAGGAATTAGTCGGGTCCCTGAGACGTACCGATTCTTTGTGCGTCCTTGTTTTCATTGTTTCTTCTTTAAAACGTCATTTTACAGCAGAAGCCATCGCAGGACTGAAAACCTGCAGAAACACAAACACACAGGATTCAGTCTGCAGCGACTTCCTGCAGATGAACAACATCGTCGTCCGTCTGCGCCCACTTCAGGAATCTGTGACCAGAACATCAACTGCAAATACACATTAACTTCCCAGCATGCACTGCTGCATCGCTGCCCTGTTTCCTCCTCAGCAGCTGACCATCATTTACACTGCAGATCTGTTTCTCGACAAATCTGTCAGCTGCTTGGTCTAAAAGGAAGAAATATGTCGATCAGTGTTTCCCAAAGTCATGCCAACGTGGAAATGAGATGGAAATATGATGTAATTAACTGTTTGTTAATTATAAATTAGTCTGAGTGTCTCAATGAACTGGTGACCAGTTGTACTCGTATATTAAAAACCTGCAAGACAAATACATGATGTATGATTCAAACCAGGGCATTCTAAGTGTTTGTTCTGTCCAAAAATTAAATGTATTCAGTCTCCAACATAGCTGCAACTAACGGCTATTTTCATGGTTGATTAATCTGTGGTTTATTTTCTGAATGAATCCTTCATGTTTGTCTCTAAATGTCAGAAAATTGTGAAAAACAAGGTCAGAGTTTCCTCAAATGTCTTGTTCAGTCCAGAGATGTTCAGTTCAGTGTCACAGAGGAAAGAACCCAGAGAACCTTCAGACTGGAGGAGATGAACCCAGAGTTCTGACTGATTCTGTTCAAACCCTCCAGCTGATGGATGGATGATCAGAACCGCTGATCTATTAGTCGACCACTGATCAGTGAGTCTCTGCAGCTACAAACTGTTCTGGTTCTTCTTCTTCTTGGACTTATTGATAAATGAAGCTGATCAGCTGATCATGTTTCTCGAAGAGTCTCCATCTGTTGAACTTTGGTTTACTGTAAGTAAACTGAAATCATTCACATTTAAGAAACTGCAATCACAGAATTGAGTCTGTTTGTTTTTTGTTTTTTTTAACTGCTGAACTCGTTCATCAGAACAATCGTAGATTAACTTACCAGCTGATCGATAAACGGCTGCAGCTGAACTGAAGCACTGAGCTGCTGGTTGCTGTTCTGGTCTGCAGGAGACCTCAGCAGCATGTTGGAAGAAGGAGCCACGCCCCCATCTACCACAACTAACTAACCACACCTAACTAGCCACACCTATCTAACATCAACTAACTAACCACAGCTAACTAGCCACAGCTATCTAACATCAACTAACTAACCACAGCTAACTAACCACACCTATCTAACATGAACTAACCACAGCTAACTAACCACACCTAACTAACATGAACTAACTAACCACAGCGAACTAACCACAGCCTGGTAGTTAACCTGCAATCTGGTCGGTAACCTGCAGCCT